TATCAAAACTAAGTGATAGCTCATAGCGGCGGGTAAGTGCAAAGTGGTCATCAGTCAATTCCAACTCTCATCAACCCGACGGGACAGAGCAGAAGTGCCCCTGTAGGATTCTGGTGCTGTGACTATTTATGGAAGGAGAAAACCTCCGTTTCCCTGGTGGAGCAGCTGGAGGTTTTAAACTGCTGAACTGCGGTTAGCAGCCCAATACGTGCTGAACTGTTGAAGATAATACGCAAAAGGATTTCCCCCTTATCTTTTAAATTAAACATTGGAGACCAGGATGTGGGCAATACAGTCCAGAATTTTGTTTTTTATTACCAAAATGTCTTAGTAGCTTCTTAAGTAATAGTCAAGAATCACAAATAACTCACATGTCTATCAACAAGTCAATGGAGATATTCATACAGTGAAACAGTCAGTATTTAATTAATTAGAGATTAATATTTACAACAGCCTAAGTAAATCTCACAATCATTATGTTGAATGAACAAAGACAGACACACGCCCATCCGGACTGTCTTATTTCAGTGATGCCAAAGGCGGGAAAAAGCAAACGAATAGAAAGTAGCTATTGGTTGCTTGAGGACAGCAGTGGGAGGACGAGAGGTGTCACACAGAGGCCTGAGCACATCATATTGAGGGAGAGATGGGCATTTTGAGGGAGAGATGGACATTCTGAAGGAGAGATGGAAATATCCCTTTTATTGAGGGTGGTCACGGCCGCTGGGGTGTGAAAAAGGTTACATTAAGTGTTAATTATTGTTCACTTTACTAGAACGTTTTTTATTGTCACTGTCAAATATACAAACACGCCACCACCTCCGACTTATTCTTTTTGAAAGCAACTTTCAAAATCTGAGCAGTAAATGTGTGTAATTTAAGTCTACTTGGTTTGTTAAGAAAGTGCAATAAAAAACAGCAGCACACTCTCTCATCCCAGCTTCTTTTCCAACAGCGTTTGATAATTAATAGCTTTTAAACTCCCTGGTACTTACTACATATTTCGAAATAGTATGCTGATGCTGATAGCTCCTCATGAGTCAGTTTCACACATGATTTTCATACTTCTCCTTATGGCAATTAAAGAGTTAATCGTTTAAAAAACGACCATCCCTTTACCTCCTCTCCTGTGCTTTTTCCTAAACACGTAGTTATCGAACACTGTGTGTGTGTGTATAAAATATATGTAGATATATTCCCTTGTGCAGCTTACTTTCCATTTTCCCCTGGAGTTTATGCCTTTTCTCATCTGCTTGGTTTTCTTGATAGCAGGGGTTTCCTCCTCTCCCAGGTGTTGCAGCAGATCTGTATGCGCTTATCAATATTCTTTCCAATGATATAGATAGTTCATACATAAATTATCTCTCCACTCTCCTCCCCTCCCCACCCCAATACACACTCCTCTCTCTGGTCCCTGCCCCACGACTTCCATCGAGACCATTTGCTCTCTGGGTGGATGTCTGGCTGTCCCTGGGCCAGTCTCTTCACCCCCGCTCTGACTTCCCCGTTCCCAGTATACCATGTCTAATACCTTCTTGCACCCAGAGTTTCCCTCATCTGCCTGAGGCGCATCCCCCAGAGCTTTCCTGAACAGAACACACTGGAGGCAAACTTCTCTCTTACTTTTCTTCATATTTTCCAGTCTTGTGAACCTGCCTCATCAACTCTGTCACTGGATTGATAATCTGGTTGAGGGTAGCCTTCTGGCCATCCAGGCTCTCCTGTGGTAAGTGAGAAGAAGTCTACGGTCATTTTTCTTTCGGATCCATTGTCTGTAACTGTTGTCCTCCTAAAAGCTCTCTTTATCTTGGGTGTTCTTTTTTT